CTCTGTGGGTAGCAGTGGGTCTCTATGAGTGTGGGTTTCTGTGGGTATGGGTCTCTGTGGGTAGCAGTGGGTCTCTATGAGTGTGGGTTTCTGTGGGTATGAGTCTCTGTGGGTCGCAGTGGGTCTCTATGAGTGTGGGTCTCTGTGGGTATGGGTCTCTGTGGGTAGCAGTGGGTCTCTATGAGTGTGGGTTTCTGTGGGTATGGGTCTCTGTGGGTAGCAGTGGGTCTCTATGAGTGTGCGTCTCTGTGGGTATGGGTCTCTGTGGGTAGCAGTGGGTCTCTATGAGTGTGGGTTTCTGTGGGTATGGGTCTCTGTGGGTAGCAGTGGGTCTCTATGAGTGTGGGTTTCTGTGGGTATGGGTCTCTGTGGGTAGCAGTGGGTCTCTATGAGTGTGGGCATTTGTGAGCATGGGTCTCTGTGGGTAGCAGTGGGTCTCTATGAGTGTGGGTTTCTGTGGGTATGGGTCTCTGTGGGTAGCAGTGGGTCTCTATGAGTGTGGGTTTCTGTGGGTATGGGTCTCTGTGGGTAGCAGTGGGTCTCTATGAGTGTGGGCATTTGTGAGCATGGGTCTCTGTGGGTAGCAGTGGGTCTCTATGAGTGTGGGTTTCTGTGGGTATGGGTCTCTGTGGGTAGCAGTGGGTCTCTATGAGTGTGGGTTTCTGTGGGTATGGGTCTCTGTGGGTAGCAGTGGGTCTCTATGAGTGTGGGTTTCTGTGGGTATGGGCCTCTGTGGGTAGCAGTGGGTCTCTATGAGTGTGGGCATTTGTGACCATGGGTCTCTGTGGGTAGCAGTGGGTCTCTATGAGTGTGGGTTTCTGTGGGTATGGGTCTCTGTGGGTAGCAGTGGGTCTCTATGAGTGTGCGTCTCTGTGGGTATGGGTCTCTGTGGGTCTTTGTAAGTATGGGTCTCTGTGAGTGTGGGCATTTGTGAGCATGGGTGTGGGGCCTTACGTGGTGAAATGAAAATTATCGTGAGGCGATGTATGATGATTATGCGTAATCTAAACTGTTTTTTGTGTGTATACATAAACTGTATATCATGTATATATGAACTGTATATTATGTATATATAAACTGTATATTACGTGTATATAAACTGTCCGCACCAGGGACAGACAGCTCCAAGCGAGGAGTGAGGAGCACGCTGGGGCCTTCTTGGCGTTGATTCAGCGACGGAGAGCCGTGGGGAGGGAGGGGGTGAGATGGGGAGAGATGAGAGAGGGACATCGAAAGAGAGAGATGAAACATCTCCTGCTGCTACTTTTGCTGCGTCTCCCCTTAAACTCATACAGGAGACTACACATTATAGTGGTAGGACACAGTACTACTACTACACAGTACTACTACTACACAGTACTATTACACAGTACTACTACACAGTACTACTACTACACAGTACTATTACACAGTACTACTACCACACAGTACTATTACACAGTACTACTACTACACAGTACTACTACACATCACTACTACACAGTACTACTACTACACAGTACTACTACCACACAGTACTACTACACAGTACTATTACTACACAGTACTACTACACAGTACTACACAGTACTACTACACAGTACTACTATTAAACAGTACTACTACTATACAGTACTACTACTACACAGTACTATTACTACACAGCACTACTACACAGTACTACTACACAGTACTACTACACAGTACTACTACTACACAGTACTACTACTACACAGTACTATTACTACACAGTACTACTACTACACAGTACTACTACACAGTACTACTACTACACAGTACTATTACTACACAGTACTACTACTACACAGTACTACTACACAGTACTATTACTACAGAGTACTACTACACAGTACTACTACTACACAGTACTACTACACAGTATTACTACTACACAGTACTACTACACAGTACTACTACACAGTACTATTACACAGTACTATTACTACACAGTACTACTACACAGTACTACTACACAGTACTACTACTACACAGTACTACTACTACACAGTACCATTACTACACAGTACTACTACACAGTACTATTACACAGTACTACTACTACACAGTACTACTACACAGTACTATTACACAGTACTACTACACAGTACTACTACTACACAGTACTACTACACAGTACTATTACACAGTACTACTACACAGTACTACTACTACTACAGAGTACTACTACTACACAGTACTACTACACAGTGCTATTACACAGTACTACTACACAGTACTATTACTACACAGTACTACTACCCAGCACTACTACACAGTACTACTACTACTACACAGTACTACTACTACTACACACGCCAGCTCGTGACGTCTACTTAGTAACACTTGGCCTGCTGAGTCTCTGTTTCTGTCTCTCTCTGTCTCTCTCTGTGTCTGCCTCTCTCTCTGTGTCTCTCTGTCTGTCTCTTTCTCTATCCCTGTGTCTCTCTCTGTGTCTCTCTCTGTCTCTTTCTCTATCCCTGTGTCTCTCTCTGTGTCTCTCTCTCTGTCTGTCTCTTTCTCTATCCCTGTGTCTCTCTCTGTCTGTCTCTTTCTCTATCCCTGTGTCTCTCTCTGTCTGTCTCTTTCTGTATCCCTGTGTCTCTCTCTGTGTCTCTCTGTCTGTCTCTTTCTCTATCCCTGTGTCTCTCTCTGTATGTCTCTTTCTCTATCTCTGTGTCTCTCTCTGTGTCTCTCTCTGTCTGTCCTTTTCTCTATCCCTGTGTCTCTCTCTGTGTGTCTCTCTCTGTCTGTCCCTTTCTCTATCCCTGTGTCTCTCTCTCTCTCTGTCTGTCCCTTTCTCTATCCCTGTCTCTCTCTCTCTCTCTTTCTCTATCCCTGTGTCTCTCTCTGTGTCTCTCTCTCTCTGTCTCTTTCTCTATCCCTGTGTCTCTCTGTGTCTCTGTCTGTCCCTTTCTCTATCCCTGTGTCTCTCTCTCTCTGTCTGTCTCTTTCTCTATCCCTGTGTCTCTCTCTCTCTGTCTGTCCCTTTCTCTATCCCTGTGTCTCTCTCTCGGAGGCGACAACGAGATGGTAACGACGATGGACGTGAGTAGCACGACGGGCAATCATCCCACTTCCCAGCAACAGCCACGAGGTCCCACACAGGGGCCCCTCCTGGACTCTCAGCGAGGCCACGCCCCTCCCCGGCCACGCCCTCCTTCTGGAACCTGCGAGCGCCCTTCCCGATTGGCTCCCTCTGTGACTTTTAGCCGAGATGTCCCCCTCTCAAGTTTCTACCGTGGCCTGCAGGCGTCAGTAGTGGCGTCGCAGGCAGCGCTATGCCACGCCACTCGCAAAGGTTAAAGGTGAGTACTTAACAATAATGACATTTTGATTTAAAGCTTTCGTGACTGCAGGGATTTATATTCTTGGTTCTTTCGGTAAAGTCACCTGCACGTAGAAGGGAAACAATAAAATAATAAAAATATAAAACAATAAAATTCTCACGAAGTTTCGACTGCAACACGAGCAGTCATCATCAGGTGTTTCCCTTCTACGTGACTTTTACCGAAAGAACCAAGAATAATAATGACATTGCCAGGCATCTTAATTTCTTTGGGAGTACTCCCTCGGTGATTTAATATTGCTCGAAATAGATTGGTTTAATGTGGTTCATTAAGGTCCAGGTAATGACTACGCTTGCTGTACGAGTTACAAATCTGTTATGAGTGGCTAATGCTGATTTGTTTTTACGTGGATTAAATGCACACAGCAGCCAGTGCAAAGGCGTTTTTTTTGTACAAATACATTTTGAAGTATATATAGTATGGCCAATTTAAACACTGCATAAAACAAATTATAAGATTAATGCCTTTTAATGTTAATGAATGCAAAGGAAAAAAGATCAAAACACAGTGTTTAACCATTCGGTCTCTGATACATTTAATGTTTAGTTATGAAATCGGCTCAAATCTATCAATATATCAATAGTTACAATTCCTGTAAGTTTTAAACTATTATACACTGCAAGTACATCAAGTGAAGGTTGGTTGAATACTGTAGTTAAAATTTTTGAAGATTTTGGTTGAGGTTTTATTTTGAACAGTACAATCGTGTTCATCAACCAATCAACAGAGAGCCGCTCTATGGGTATCTCGGTAAAGTCAAGTAGGTAATAAAATAATTTAAATTAAAACAACATTTTATCTTATACCTACTACGTAACTTTACCGAAAGAAACTAAGAGTGTGGATCCCTGCAGTCACGAAAACTTCAAGTCAAGATTATTATTATTGTTGCTGATACAGCTGACCCTGGACTTTCAATATCCCGGGAAAGGATTCGAGACTTCCCCGGACGTCGGCAAACGCGAACTTACCAGGAAGAGAAACCGGGACAGGTGGCAACACCAAGTGGAGCGCCCCGCGACAATTACCGACCGCGCGCGCGGTCGGAGCGAGCGACTGGCGGCGCGTGGGCGGGGCTTGGTGACCCACCCGGACTGTACCACCCCGCTGGACGTTGTGGGGGGGGGGGGCTGGCAGTGCCCTGCCCGACAATGGGTCTCGGTGGTCACAATTTACATTTAGAGATGGGATCGGCCAAGTTCGGCTTCCCCCCCACCCCCCACCGCCCACCGCCGCACCCCCTCCACTTTGTATCGGATACGGTGAGTTCAGCTCCTGGCTAAGTGACTCAGTGCCCAGGTCGACTGCCGCCACTCTGCTGCGTCATTAAAATCGTAAGCCCGGCCAGGTTCAAGTCCTGCTCTGGAGAGGGGGTGGTGTTGACTCAGCCCATCATCATCATCATGCCTCGGTGGGAGTGGTCGATAAAATAGGTACCTATTAGGTGGCACGTGACTAGTAGCCACCAGGGCCATAGAAAGATGCGGGCTGGATGTTTTATGCCGGGTGAACAATTATGATGCCGGATCATCGACGCATGCAGAGAGAATCGAAGCCCCGGGCAAATTGTAGCTCGTGGCGAGCGGACACCGTGGACCCTAGCGACTGGGTCGCGACTGATTAATGAAAAGATTGTGGGGTCATTAGGAAGGATCACAGGGAGGTGGTGAGGATGGGTCTGGTAGGACGGGGAAGTGGGAATTGGAGCGAGTGGACAGTGTGGGGGAGGGGTTCATTGGGGTCTTGGTTTTGTGGGGGGGGGGGAGGTATGGGCGAGGCGGGGGGGGCTGTAAACAGCCCTGAACCAGTGGTGGAAACTCCACATTACTATGGTGGGGGACGAGTAACCCCACGGATTATCAAACCCGGAGATCTGCGTTGGGTCTTTCACATCCACTACCACCTATGGGCACACGACCCTGCCACGTGGGGGCGGACCCTGCCACGTGGGGGGGCGGACCCTGTCACGTGGGGTGGGGGGCGGACCCTGCCACGTGGGGGCGGACCCTGCCACGTGGGGGAGGACCCTGCCACGTGGGGGGGGCGGACCCTGCCACGTGATGCGCGTTCGGTCGACCTCACGGCCACATCGCGTCACTGTGTCACGTGAGTACTTTGTGCTATAGAGTCACTAAATATACTGTTATAGAGTCACTAAATATACTGTTATAGAGTCACTATTAATACTGTTATAGAGTCACTATTAATACTGTTATAGAGTCACTATTAATACTGCTATAGAGTCCCTATTAATACTGTTATAGAGTCACTATTAATACTGCTATAGTCACTAATAATACTGTTATAGAGTCACTATTAATACTGTTATAGAGTCACTATTAATGCTGTTATAGTCACTATTAATACTGTTATAGAGTTACTATTATTACTGCTATAGAGTGACTATGAATACTGTTATAGAGTCACTATTAATACTGTTATACAGTGACTATTAATACTGCTATAGAGTCACTATTAATGCTGTTATAGAGTCACTATTAATACTGCTATAGAGTCACTATTAATACTGTTATAGAGTCACTATTAATACTGTTATAGAGTCACTATTAATACTGTTATAGAGTCACTATTAATACTGTTATAGAGTCACTATTAATACTGCTATAGAGTCACTATTAATACTGTTATAGAGTCACTATTAATACTGTTATAGAGTCACTAATAATACTGTTATAGAGTGACTATTAATACTGTTATAGAGTCACTAGAGTCACTATTAATACGTGCGGGCACCCACACGGGTTTGAGTGACATCCTGCGCTTGGCAGCGCTGCTCCGCGCCAGCTCAAACTTGGCAGAGAAGAGCTCCGTCTGAGCCGTGTGCTCGTCCTGCGCGAAGATCTGGCTGGTGCACAGCGGCTGCCTGCTCTTCGTCTACGCGGGGAGGGAGGGGAGGGAGGGGGAGGGAGGGAAGCAGTCAAATGATCATCATCACCACCACCATGAGACCCACTACAGCCATCATCATCGCCGCCATCATCATCACCACCACCATGAGACCCACTACAGCCATCATCATCGCCGCCATCATCATCACCACCACCACCATCACCATGAGACCCACTTAGCTCACCTGCTCACCCGCTCACTCGCCTACTCACCGGCTCACCCGCGGCTCGCTCGCCCGCTCACCCACTCACCCACCCACCCGCTTGCCCGCCTGCCCACTCACCCACCCACCCATCCGCTCACCCACCCGCTCGCCCACTCACCCACCCGCTCACCCACTCACCAGCGGCTCACTCACCAGCCACTCACCTTGTAGACGCCTTTGGTCTTCTGCTTCTTCTTGGGGTGGAAGTCGTAGAGGAGCTGGGGGAGACATTGAAGGCACGAAGACGGTCAGCAGCTCACCACCACCGTCACCATGGTGATGGTGAGCTCACCACCACCATGGTGACAGTCAGCTCACCATCACCGTCAGCTCACCATCACCATGGTGACAGTCAGCTCACCATCACCGTCAGCTCACCATCAGCATGGTGACAGTCAGCTCGCCACCACCGTCACCATGGTGACAGTCAGCTCACCATCACCGTCACCATGGTGACAGTCAGCTCACCATCACCGTCACCATGATGACAGTCAGCTCACCATCACCGTCACCATGGTGACAGTCAGCTCACCATCACCGTCAGCTCACCATCACTATGGTGACAGTCAGCTCACCACCACCGTCACCATGGTAACAGTCAGCTCACCATCACCATCACCACGGTGACAGTCAGCTCGTCACCACCATCACCGTCACCACGGTGACAGCTCACCATCACCGTCACCACCACCACTGTCACCATGGTGATAGTCAGCTCACCCACTCACTCACCCAGCCACCCATTCACCCATTCACCCACCCACCAACCCACTTACCCACCCACCCAGCCACCCACTCACTTACCCACCCACCCCCCCACCCAGCCACCCACCTTGCCCTCCTCGCGTGGCACCACAACGGCCTCGTAGCGCGAGCGGCAGTGCTTGGGTGAGCGGTAGACGCGGCTCACCACGTTCACCACATCGCTCACCAGCTCCCAGTTGGGGGTGTGCGCCGGGGACACCAGGGCCAGGTTCAGCGGCAGCTCCAGCAGCTGCTGGATCGCCTGGTGAGGAGACACGGAGGGAGGGGGGGTTGGTGGGTGGGTGAGTAGTTGGGTGAGTGCGTGGGTGGGTGAGTGGGTGGGTGAGTGGGTGAGTGAGTGAGTGGGTGAGTGAGTGGGTGGGTGAGTGAGTGGGTTGGTGGGTGAGTGGGTGGGTGGGTGAGTGGGTGGGTGAGTAGTTGGGTGAGTGGGTTGGTGGGTGAGTGGGTTGGTGGGTGAGTGGGTGAGTGAGTGGGTGAGTGAGTGGGTGGGTGGGTGAGTGGGTGAGTGAGTGGGTGAGTGGGTGAGTGGGTTGGTGGATGAGTAGTTGGGTGGGTGAGTGGGTTGGTGGGTGAGTGGGTGGGTGAGTGAGTGGGTGGGTGGGTGAGTGGGTGAGTGAGTGGGTGGGTGAGTGGGTGGGTGGGTGAGTAGTTGGGTGGGTGAGTGGGTTGGTGGGTGAGTGGGTGGGTGGGTGAGTGGGTGGGTGGGTGAGTGGGTAAGTTTGTGTGTGTGTGTCTGTGGTCCGGCATGCCTAAACAGCTTTTGTTCTGCCGGATAGAGGGGGCTAAACGGGCGCGGCCCGGGCCAGAGAAGAGATGGAGTGACATGGTACAGGAGGACGTGGAGCTGAGTGGACTTGCCGATGACTGGTACCAGTAGTTTCAAGATCGGATATGTTGTTGAAAGTGGTTGTGCAATTGGCGGTTTGGAGTGTCCGTCTAAGGCTTTGATGGTCTTCCAAAGTTTTGATGAGTTTTGGCGGTGTTCAAAAGATTCGACAAACTCGTGCCAGCGTTCCCTGTTTTGGCTTGATTGATTAGCATTGTGATTTCAATATTGAAGGCCGGGAGATTTGTGGTGATGTAGGATTGTTTGTCCTAATGGTGTTCCGTTGGTTTATTAGCGTTGAGGCTTGTTTAGGGAGGCAGGGAAGGTGTTGCTTGCAGCAACCCCCCAGCGACGGTGTGCTTGGTGGTAGTCGCGATGATGTTTCTGAAATTCTTTTCAGAGTTATTTGCGGATGTGTGGCTATGGTTGATGTTGTCGGTGAATAATTATTCTGAATCATAAGTGAAAAGTGGCCAGTTTCCTTTTTTAAAGTTGTAATACAAGCGGTTTTTAGGATTTAAATGTAGATTTAAAGCTTCCGTGACTGCAGGGATTCATATTCTTGGTTCTCTCGGTAAAGTCACCACCACGTAGAAGGGAAACAATAAAATAATAAAAATATTTAAAAAATCATTCTCACAACATTTGCAATCATCATTAAAAAAACGCCACTTTTTTTTTTCAAAATCTTCTCGCTGTGGATTTCACACCTGCTGATGATTGCATGTTTGTTTAGCAATCGAAACGTCGTGAGAATTTTATTGTTTTATTATTTTATTATTTCTCTTCTACGTGACTTTACCGAAAGCATCGAGTGAACGGTTTTTAGGAGTTTGTGAATGTTTGGCGGCATTGAGGGTCAACGCAATAGGTGGGCGGTCGGCTCCAAGGGCCTCAAAAAGACTTGCCAGTCGATTGATGAAAGGAGTTTTCCTGATGCTATTGTGTATAGTGGTGTATAGTAGTGTAGTATACAGTATTGTGTGTAGTGTATAGTAGTGTAGCCTATATTACTGTGGTGTATAGCAGGGTATAGTGTAGTGTATAGCAGTGTATATTACTAGTGTATAGTGATGTATAGTAGTGTATAGTGCAGTGTAGTGTATAGTAGTGTATATTACTAGTGTATAGTGATGTATAGTAGTGGTGTATATTGGTGTATGGTAGTGTAGTGTACATTATTGTGTGTAGTGTATAGTGTAGTGTATAGTAGTGTAGCCTATATTACTGTGTATAGCAGCGTATAGTGTAGTGTATAGCAAGGTATATTCCTATAGTGTATAGTGATGTATAGTAGTGTATAGTGCAGTGTATAGTGTAGTGTATAGTAGTGTAGCCTATATTACTCTGTATAGCAGCGTATAGTGTCGTGTATAGCAGTGTATATTACTATAGTGTATAGTGATGTATAGTAGTGTATAGTGCAGTGTTTAGTAGTGTATAGTGCAGTGTATAGCGTATTGTATAGTAGTGTAGCCTATATTACTGTGGTGTATAGCAGCGTATAGTGTAGTGCAGTGGTTCTTAACCTTGTTGGAGGTACCGAACCCCACCAGTTTCATATGCGCATTCACCGAACCCCTCTTTAGTGAAAAATAAAATGTGATTTTTTTCAAATTCAAGACAAAGATATGTTTTTTACTGGTACACAAAATGAGCTGTGCATGAACATTAACTTGTTCAAAGAATAAAACCAACACAATGCATAAACTCACAACAAATTACATACCTGGAAATCAATGTGACTTCTGCTGTTGCCTTTGAGAGATCAGTTCAGATATGCGTGGCTTCACCTTGGCAAGTGCCACTCTCATGTCATTTTCACAGCAAAGTCTGTTCCTTTTCTTCGTTTTTATGTCCAGCATCCTCGAAAATGATTGCTCACAAAGATATGTTGTAACAAATGGTATAAAAAAATCCAGGGCTTTCTTAGCAATAACTGGATACTTGTTCATTTGTCGACACCAAAACGTTGAGAGCGTTGTTGTTCTGAAGAGTTGCTGTTGAACCTGGCTCTGCTGAATTTCAATGATTTCGTCGAGGAATTCATCATTGACATCTGCTGCTTCAACAGCAAACGTGAACGGCTGTCTCACCCATGCTGGATATGACTCTCTTGTAGGGAAATATCCGTCGAGAGACTTTGCAAGCTCATCTAAGTGCGTGGCAATTGTTTGCTTCAGTTCCGTGGATACAGAAATATCTCCGATTCCAGACACATCTTCGATCTTACTTGCACAGTCGTCCAGAAGCGGGAAGTTTGCGAAGTTATTGTTCTCTGTTCGTCGTTTCCATAATGGTAGCTTTTTTTTAAAAGCCTTCAGGTGTTCTTCCGCTTCCATGATATTGACTCCACCACCCTGCATCTGCTGATTGAGATGATTGAGAGCTGCGAATATATCAGCCATGTACGCTAAAATGAGAATGAACTCAGGATTTTTGAAGCAATCTGCATGGCAGTGTTGGTGCTCTTGCAAAAACAGGGCTAATTCCACACGCATGGCAAAAACACGATTCAGCACCTGTCCCCGGGATAACCACCGAATATTAGAATGGAGCAGAAGTACCTCAAATTCAGAGCCCATTTCTTTACACAGCTCACTGAAGATGCGGTGCCTCAGAGCACTTTTTCGCACATAGTTCACACATTCCACCAGTTTTTAATACTTCTGCCATTTTTGGAGGTAAGGTTTTTGTTGCCAACGCATGCCTGTGCAGAATACAATGCGTCACAATGATGTGTGGTGCATCGGCCTTTACTAGCGCACCAAAACCAGACTTTCTTCCCAGCATGACTGGAGCTCCGTCCGTACAAACTGCAGAAACCATATCCCATGAAAGATTGTTGTCTCTGAAGAAGTCATCCACAAGCTTCTTCACATCGGCTGCCTTCGTTGTTGTTGTAAGAGGCTTACAAAATAAAAAACTCTTCTTTTATCATGTCGTCTTTCACATAGCGTACAAAAACAGCAAGCTGGCTTAGATCAGAAACGTCTGTGGTTTCGTCGAGTTGAAGGCTGAATTTTGCCGGGCTTGAAATCAGATCCGCGACTACTTGAGCCAAGATGTCTTTACTCATGTCTTCTATTCTGTCACTGACGGTGTCATTTGAAAGGGGAATTTGGGATAATTTACCTTCGGCCACTGTTCCGAGTATCAGATTCGCCATCTTTAATGCAGCTGGTTTCACAAGTGTTTCACCAATGGTGTGTGGCTTGCCCTGCTTTGCGATCAGGTAAGCAACTTCGTACGATGCTGTCAGGATCGGTTTGTTAACAGGTACAAATCCAAGAGCAGGCAGAGTGGCCCTTTCATCGAATCTGGCTCTCTTCACCCTGAATTCAGCAAGTGTTGTGTTCTTGTATTCCCCGTCTCCATGCAGCTTCAAGAAGTGTTCCTTTAGTTTTGCCGGTGCAAGACTAGAGTTGCTCAACTTGGCGTTGCAAATCATGCAGATAGGACGCTCACTCCCATCACGTTCCGTGATACATGAGAATCCATGTTGTACATATTCGTCCGACCACTTTCTTCTTTTGCCCGACATAGTTAGTATGGATAAAATATTAAAGAAATCACACGACGTACAACAACAGTCACACGTTGACTACTGAGTACGCACTAAATTCCCCGCAGCGCTGATTGGCCAAGCAGTGTAGCATGATCATCTGCAGCCAGTGATGGCCAAGCGGGCCGTGTGTGTCATCACAAATTTACACAATAATTCAAGTGTGTCCGGACCTCCGTGGCGGGGGCTCTGCCGAACCCCTGAGATCGACTCACCGAACCCCTGGGGTTCGATCGAACCCAGGTTAAAAACCACTGGTGTAGTGTATAGTAGTGAATATTACTAAAGTGTATAGTGATGTAGAGTAGTGTATAATAGTGTAGTGCATAGTGGTGTATGGTAGTGTAATGTACAGTATTGTGTGTAGTGTATAGTAGTGTAATGTATAGTAGTGATGTGTATAGTAGTATAGTGTATAGTCGGGTAAAGCATAGTGCCGTGTGTAGTGTATAGTGTAGTGTATAGTAGTGCAGTGTATAGTGTTGGGAGAATAAATCCACGCTCACAATTGTTCTCTCAAACACACTGGTGGGCTGCAGTAGTAACCACCCGGCACGAGGTTTCGTCTACGTGACACAACCTTGCTGGCTGATGCCGGGTGGTGGAGTGCTCAACGACATATCTACAACTCACAAGCGAGATCTGACCCCCCCAAAAGAGAAAACCTTTATTCGTGAATAACTCGGCGTTCAACTCAAAACAGGAAACTTAAATCTCGACTTGAAGCTTTCGCGACTGCAGGGATTCACACTCTTTGGTTCTTTTGGTAAAGTCACCACGTAGAAGGGAAACAATAAAATAAAAAAATAAAAAAAATAAAACAATAAGATAATTCTATTGCTTTATATTTGTATTATTTTATAGTTTCCCTTCTACGTGGTGACTTTACCGAAAGAACCAAGAATAAAAAGTACAATGTTTATTTCTACCGACGTGACTTTACCGAAAGGACCAAAGAGTAAGGAAACTTAAACTGAGATGGTTGGATATTTCTTCGTTCGGACGGCCCTTCCCTTCCTAGAGGCGGCCTTGACCTCTCCTTGTTCTTCTCCGGAGTCTCCTACTTCGTCTGCCACCGCCGCCACTTCGTATTTCTTGCCGAGCTGCACTTGGGGGTTTTTGCTCACGGCCACCGCGGCCGAGCGTAAGGCCGGAGTCTCCCGCCGTCCTCCCTCTCCGCCTCCCCCACCTCTCCCTGCTCCGCTCTCCCCGTATCCCCGCGTTGCCCTGGCCCGTCGGGGTGGTGGGGAAACCGTCAGCTCCAGCCGCCGCTGTATCGCGCGCAGGTAACCTTGCAGCTGCGACGCAGCCGCCGGCGTTATCGCCACCTGCCGGGGGGCGGCCTCCTCCGTCTCGGCCGCGCGACGAGGAGGAGGAGGAGGCGGAGGAGGAGGATCGCCGTTCGCAATCCTGTTCATGGCAACGACAGTAGCAGCGGGAACGGCACGTTTTGAGCGTCAGGGAGGAAGCCCGTACCCTTTCTGGCAATAAAGCACGAGTTGTGTTCAGATGTTGGAACGCCAAATAGAATCCTTTTGCATGGAATCAAGTTCACATTAACCACACGCAGCACTTGTGTGGTGGGTTCCATTTAGGCGCACACTAGAACTGGAGGCAACAGGTAACTCTCAACAGGATGACGACATAGGGCGGTAACCACCGCTCCCAACTTAGCTAATTATATTACCGGACCAGGACAGCTCAACACGCTGCCTGGTCCACTAGCGGAGACCGGAGACCGAGGACCTTAGATGGCGGCTTCATTCCCAGAGTTGACCCAGCAGCCCCGCTCCCACCCGGGACTTGGTTTATAACTGTGTGGCCGGCTCTGCCCTTGCCCACGCCCCCTTCCAGATCCTTCCGGGAGGGGGCGTGGCCGGCTCTGCCCTTGGCCACGCCCCCTTCCAGATCCTTCCGGGATGGACCCTGGGTCCTTATCACGTAACCCTCACGTCCCCCCTTGCCCCCTCGTCCAGTCACGTGCCCTCTCGGGTTCACCCAGGATATCATGTCCTGACCCGACCTCAGCGACACCCGGACCCTGCCCTCTAGTGAGCCATTCCGTGCCGTGCTCACTCTGGTACCATAGAGCGGCACCACGCATACAGCACCACTCTTCACTCGCTACTGTCGCTACAGAGTAGTGACACCATTTATGTCGCTACACTTGTGGTGAACATGCAAACAAACATGCTCTGGTAGTATATGATGCATTGTCTTTGAAACTGATTGGTCCACACCAGGGAGAGCTATCTTTAGAGCCTAGCCTCAAACAGTGTTAGACCAGAGGATGCCAAAAGGCGAACAGCACAGACACAATGCCACTATCAGCACATTGAGAGCTCGTTGTGAGCAGCTACGTCATGTGCAGCTACATCATGGGAGGTCCCATGGTGACGTCGAATTTGTTATCGGTGAAAACAAACGGCATCCCACGCGATAGCCGCGGTCAAAAAATAAATAGCGGAAGACATTTCCGCATTCGATATTTCGAGGCTTACCTCGCGTGATATATTTTTGCTCCTCTCCCCAATGACTTCAAGTAGGAATCTGCCGAAGTGCGGGCACGCAGCGCGCCCTCCCGTCGAACGAGGGCACTGGCTAAGTAATGAACGTGTCAGCAGCGACGACGCACGTCCAGTTTCAAGTACCGCGTGAAGGAAGCCGAGTGACAGCGGAGGGAGTTAGTGACATGGGTTAGCAGCAGTAGCAGCTGTAGAACATTACTGCTGAAGGCCTACGAGATAGAAGTGTCTAGGGCCTACAAGAACCTTAATCTGGCCCTGACTGAAGGCCTACGAGATAGAAGTGTCTAGGGCCTACAAGAACCTTAATCCAGCCCTGACTGAAGGCCTACGAGATAGAAGTGTCTAGGGCCTACAAGAACCTTAATCCAGCCCTTACTGAAGGCCTATGAGACAGAAGTGTCTAGGGCCTACAATAAACCTCAATCCGGCCCTGACTGAAGGCCTACGAGATAGAAGTGTTTAGGGCCTACAAGAACCTTAATCCAGCCCTTACTGAAGGCCTATGAGACAGAAGTGTCTAGGGCCTACAAAAAACCTCAATCCGGCCCTGACTGAAGGCCTACGAGATAGAAGTGTCTAGGGCCTACAAGAACCTTAATCTGGCCCTGACTGAAGGCCTACGAGATAGAAGTGTCAAGGCCCTACAAGAACCTTAATCTGGCCCTGACTGAAGGCCTACGAGATAGAAGTGTCAAGGCCCTACAAGAACCTTAATCCAGCCGTGACTGAAGGCCTACGAGATAGAAGTGTCAAGGCCCTACAAGAACCTTAATCTGGCCCTGACTGAAGGCCTACGAGATAGAAGTATCTAGGCCCTACAAGAACATTAATCCAGCCGTGACTGAAGGCCTACGAGATAGAAGTGTCTAGGGCCTACAAGAACCTTAATCTGGCCCTGACTGAAGGCCTATGAGATAGAAGTATCTAGGCCCTACAAGAACATTAATCCAGCCGTGACTGAAGGCCTACGAGATAGAAGTGTCTAGGGCCTACAAGAACATTAATCCAGCCCTGACTGAAGGCCTATGAGATAGAAGTGTCTAGGGCCTACAAGAACCTTAATCTAGCCCTGACTGAAGGCCTACGAGATATAAGTCTCTAGGCCCTACAAGAACCTTAATCCAGCCCTGACTGAAGGCCTACGAGATAGAAGTGTCTAGGCCCTACAAGAACCTTAATCCGGCCCTGACTGAAGGCCTACGAGATAGAAGTGTCAAGGCCCTACAAGAACCTTAATCTGGCCCTGACTGAAGGCCTACGAGATAGAAATGTCAAGGCCCTACAAGAACCTTAATCCAGCCCTGAATGAAGGCCTACGAGATAGAAGTGTCTAGGCCCTACAAGAACCTTAATCTGGCCCTGACTGAAGGCCTATGAGAAAGAAGTATCTAGGCCCTACAAGAACATTAATCCAGCCGTGACTGAAGGCCTACGAGATATAAGTGTCTAGGGCCTACAAGAACCTTAATCCGGCCCTGACTGAAGGCCTATGAGACAGAAGTGTCTAGGGCCTACAATAAACCTCAATCCGGCCCTGACTGAAGGCCTACGAGATAGAAGTGTCAAGGCCCTACAAGAACCTTAATCCAGCCCTGACTGAAGGCCTACGAGATAGAAGTGTCTACGCCCTACAAGAACCTTAATCTGGCCCTGACTGAAGGCCTACAAGAAAGAAGTGTCAAGGCCCTACAAGAACCTTAATCTGGCCCTGACTGAAGGCCTACGAGATAGAAGTGTCTAGGCCCTACAAGAACCTTAATCCAGCCCTGACTGAAGGCCTACGAGATAGAAGTGTCAAGGCCCTACAAGAACATTAATCCGGCCCTGACTGAAGGCCTACGAGATAGAAGTGTCTAGGGCCTACAAGAACATTAATCCGGCCCTGACTGAAGGCCTACGAGATAGAAGTGTCAAGGCCCTACAAGAACCTTAATCCGGCCCTGACTGAAAGCCTACGAGATATAAGTGTCAAGGCCCTACAAGAACATTAATCCAGCCCTGACTGAAGGCCTACGAGACAGAAGTGTCTAGGGCCTACAAGAACCTTAATCCAGCCCTGACTGAAGGCCTACGAGATAGAAGTGTCTAGGCCCTACAAGAACCTTAATCTGGCCCTGACTGAAGGCCTACGAGATAGAAGTGTCTAGGCCCTACAAGAACATTAATCCAGCCCTGACTGAAGGCCTACGAGATAGAAATGTCAAGGCCCTACAAGAACCTTAATCTGGCCCTGACTGAAGGCCTACGAGATAGAAATGTCAAGGCCCTACAAGAACCTTAATCCAGCCCTGACTGAAGGCCTACGAGACAGAAGTGTCTAGGGCCTACAAGAACATTAATCTGGCCCTGACTAAAGGCCTACGAGACAGAAGTGTCTAGGGCCTACAAGAACCTTAATCCGGCCCTGACCGTTGCTGGCGCTTGGCTCGGCTGCCTGGCAACAAGTCCCCGAGGGCGCCCATCCCCAGGTGCCACAGCTCGGCCAGGTCGAGAGCCAGGCTGAGGCCGCCCACGGCGTACATCACGTACAGGAAGACGGTTTTCTCCGTGGGCCTCGACACGAAGCAGTCGACGCGGTGGCGGCAAGGGTGGCGGCGGGGGCACTCGAAGCGGGGGATCACCTCCAAGCCGTACATCACGTACTGGCCCAGAAGGAAGCCCACTTCGGCCACCGTGCGCAGGACGAGCTGCAGCGTGTACGCCCACATGAGGCCGTCGGCCGGGATCGCGCGGCGCCCGTCGTGCCATCTGTGGTCGTTCTTCTTGACCTCGCCAGCCTCGTCGGCAAACTCCCCTCCTTTCTCCGCTTGGACATTCTCCTCGGCTTGCTCGGTCCGTCGGTGCTTTTTGTGGCCGGTCGAGCCTTCTGACCTGCGGATAACGACGCGGGAATGAAAGTTTAAAAATATCCTTCTCACCAAAACAAAGAGTGGAATTAAGGTTTTTTTTGGGGGGGGGGGGGGGGGGCCTTCATCGTCATTATCATCATCACGATTATCGTCGTCGTCGTAACTCTACTAGACCTCTGTATCCTGTGTATGGCGAAGGCGAGGTAGAGAATGCTGGGCGCCGCCACGGTGATAATCTGAAAAATCCAGAAGCGCACGTAGGAGAGGGGAGCGAAGGAGTCGTAGCAGACGTTTGTGCAGCCCGGCTGTTGCGAGTTGCACATGAACGAGCTCTGCTCGTCGTGGTAGATGGATTCGCCCGCCGCGATAGTCAGCATGATGCGCAAGATCAGGAACGTGGTGAGCCAGAGCTTGCCCAGGTACGTCGAGTGCAGAGATATCTCCTCCAACAGACGGGTCAGGAAGCTCCAGCTCATTGCGACCGCCGGCTCACCAAAAGCGTTGCCCGCCTGAGAATTCCAGAAGAGAGACGCGGATTTAGACGGCGCGTTGGCCGGCCGCGCGTCAACCAATGTCGCACGTTGGGCACCGCATTCAGCTCGAGACACCGTCGATCGTCATCGATTATCCGTCACCACACGATTATCATCCGACATTATCCAGCGGTCCTGGGCCGATCTGGCGAAACTGGCAAAGCCGCTCCAAAGGCCGTAGTAAACCAGTCCCGGCGATCGGCACCATTGTGCAGCGTGACCAAAAAAAAGCGTAGCCGCACTTGTGTTAGAGGATGTCTCACCCGTCCTCACACACTCTGGTGTTAAACCGGAGCCGGTCATGAGCACACTGGGCAGATGTGAGAAACTCTGCACTCTCGCCACAACTGAGCACTATTAATTCAGCAGTGCATAGTGACTGTGGTGGTCCGTGCTATTACTACAGCAGTGCATAGTGTGGTGGTACCTGCTTTCCCTGCAGCAGTGCATGCATACTGTGGTGTAAGCTGCTATGATTAGAGCAGGGCAAGCGAAAGTGGTGGTACCTGCTATGATTAGAGTAGTACATGCTGACTCTATAGCAGTATTAATGGACTGTACAGTAGTACATGCTGACTCTATAGCATTAGATATCGACTCTACAGTAGTACATGCTGACTGTATAGCAGTATTAATGGACTGTACAGTAGTACATGCTGACTGTATAGCAGTAGATATCGACTCTACAGTATTAATAGTGATTCTATAGCAGTATTAATAGTGACTCTATAGCAGTATTAATAGTGACTCTATAGCAGTATTAATAGTGACTCTATAGCAGTATTAATAGTGACTCGATAACAGTATTAATAGTCACTCTATCGCATTATTAATAGTGACTCTATAACAGTATTAATAGTCACTCTATAGCAGTATTAATAGTCCCTCTATAGCGGTATTTATAGTGACTCTATAACAGTATTAATAGTGACTCTATAGCAGTATCAATAGTCACTCTACAGCAGTATTAATAGTGACTCTATAGCAGTATTAATAGTGACTCTATAGCAGTATTAATAGTCACTCTATAGCAGTATTAATAGTCACTCTATAGCAGTATCAATAGTCACTCTATAGCAGTATTAATAGTGACTCTATAGCAGTATTAATAGTGACTCTATAGCAGTATTAATAGTGACTCTATAACAGTATTAATAGTGACTCTATAGCAGTATTAATAGTGACTCTATAACAGTATTAATAGTCACTCTATAGCAGTATTAATAGTGACTCTATAACAGTATTAATAGTGACTCTATAACAGTATTAATAGTGACTCTATAGCAGTATCAATAGTCACTCTATAGCAGTATTAATAGTGACTCTATAGCAGTATTAAGTCACTCTATAGCAGTATTAATAGTGACTATAACAGTATTAATAGTGACTCTATAACAGTATTAATAGTGACTCTATAACAGTATTAATAGTGACTCTATAGCAGCATTAATAGCGACTCTATAGCAGTATTAATAGTGACTCTATAGCAGTATTAATAGTGACTCTATAACAGTATTAATAGTGACTCTATAGCAGTATTAATAGTGACTCTATAGCAGTATTAATAGTGACTCTATAACAGTATTAATAGTGACTCTATAGCAGTATTAATAGTGACTCTATAACAGTATTAATAGTGACTCTATAACAGTATTAATAGTCACTCTATAGCAGTATTAATAGTGACTCTATAACAGTATTAATAGTGACTCTATAACAGTATTAATAGTGACTCTATAGCAGTATCAATAGTCACTCTATAGCAGTATTAATAGTGACTCTATAGCAGTATTAAGTCACTCTATAGCAGTATTAATAGTGACTATAACAGTATTAATAGTGACTCTATAACAGTATTAATAGTGACTCTATAACAGTATTAATAGTGACTCTATAACAGTATTAATAGTGACTCTATAACAGTATTAATAGTGACTCTATAGCAGTATTAATAGTGACTCTATAGCAGTATTAATAGTGACTCTATAGCAGTATTAATAGTGACTCTATAGCATTATTAATAGTGACTCTATATCAGTATTAATAGTGACTCTATAACAGTATTAATAGTGACTCTATAGCAGTATTAATAGTGACTCTATAACAGTATTAATAGTCACTCTATAACAGTATTATTAGTGACTCTATAACAGTATTAATAGTGACTCTATAACAGTATTAATAGTGACTCTATAGCAGTATTAATAGTGACTCTATAACAGTATTAATAGTGACTCTATAACAGTATTAATAGTGACTCTATAACAGTATTAATAGTGACTCTATAACAGTATTAATAGTGACTCTATAGCAGTATTAATAGTGACTCTATAACAGCATTAATAGTGACTCTATAGCAGTATTAATAGTCACTGTATAACAGTATTAATAGTGACTCTATAACAGTATTAATAGTGACTCTATAACAGTATTAATAGTGACTCTATAACAGTATTAATAGTGACTCTATAGCAGTATTAATAGTGACTCTATAACAGTATTAATAGTCACTCTATAACAGTATTATTAGTGACTCTATAACAGTATTAATAGTGACTCTATAGCAGTATTAATAGTGACTCTATAACAGTATTAATAGTGACTCTATAACAGTATCACAAAGCAAACATTGTGTGTCATTGCCGAGTACATGATATGAACTGGATAATGCAATAATTGATTCACATTCTAATACATACGTGTGCACATCTGTTAATATTTTTTTCACCTTAAATTTAGTATGCGTGGAGAACGTCTTTCACACCGTACGTAGCCAACCGTGCTATAATCGGAGCTGCGACATGATTCCCTGATTGCATGTGCATCCATGTGTTGCTTTGTGCTCGAATTGCTTTTTTTTTCATCGTCAACAGTTACAACAATAAACGCACATCAGTGCTTTAATCAAGCATTCTTATTTTCAGTGGTCGTGGGTGCTGTGTCAAATTATTTCCATGCATTTAGGGAGATTTTAACTTGGGGACAAATGATCGGAGTAGGTTACATGTCAAGACGTTATGTAAAGACCGTGAGAGGTCGCTTAGTATATCAACTAAATGTTGCAAATTCTTGGTTCTTTCGGTAAAGTCACGTAGAAGGGAAACAATCAAATAATAAAAATATAAAACAATAAAATTCTCGCTAGAAGGGAAACAATAAAATAATAAAAATATAAAACAATAAAATTCTCTATTATTTTATTGTCTTCCCTTCTACGTGGTGGTGACTTTACCGAAAGAACCAAGAATATGAATCCCTGCAGTCACGAAAGCTTTAAATCAACAATTTAAATGTTGCAAGTTTGACAAATGAAAGAAAGTAAATTGAGTTATGTAGAAAAAACAGCTTGCACAAGCTTCTGCCCACCCCCCAGCACACAAATCCTCCCAATCCCCCCCCCCCCCCCACTTCTCCCTTTCCACCTCCCCACCAGTATATAGCAGCCTATAAATGAAACATGCAAATAAAACAATATGCAGCAAAATCTTGGTTGCATGCTCGTTTCAAATTATTTGAATGATAAACAAAGCTTGGAGGGTTATTTTGCATTTTAGTAAATACCATAACCAAGCAAATGTGAAATAGAATTGAGAGTCAAATGACTTATCATCAAAGTCATTCTCTATCCGCTTCTGGAAGAAGGCCTTCCAATGTCCATCTCTCAATTGTCTTGCGAGTGATCTGAAACAATGATCAGGAACGGAACTCACTGACAAATCAAATGTAACAATCGCACAAGTTGGGAATTTCGCTGCGAGACAGAAAGCGGGACACAAAATGGATGGGCACAAGTGCGAGTAGAGCATATAAGTACAGTACAACAATGGATCCTTCAGCTGACCACCTTGCACCCCTGCAGCTGCCCATGCCAACCTGCTATGCGTGTGGTCAGCACTGCGCCAGCAACATCCAAGTTAAAACCTGATTATCTTCCAGGATTTGACTAGATCGGGTACATTCTGGGTTATTTGGGCATAGCTGCTGCTGCAGATGATGATTGAAAAGTTTTCATCCTGTGAACAAACGTAGCCCCCCATTATGGGAATGTGGAAATTTCACCTTGTTTGGTTGCTGGCATTGGTGATGAGAGTCACTCGATGCTTTTTATGTAAGCAAGAAAACACTTCGTATTTTTTTATGGAATTGATTGACAAATTGTACGTGATTTAAATAATATGAACAAACTGCCTTGTATTCCTGGTTCTTTCGGTAAAGTCACCACGTAGAAGGGACACAACAAAAACAGGTCCCTGCAGGGTGGGCTGGTAGGAACGCAATTTGATTACATTGTTACTTCCAAATGTTGGGTGCAATAAGACATATCAAGTCTCTGCGCTGTCTATTGCTGATTTTACACCCAACAGCATGAGATTTCACTTCGTTAAAGTATTGAAAGGGGACGGACGGACGGACACATTAATCTATTGCAGGCTGGTACACTCAGTTTACAACTTCGTTCCTACCAGTATAATAAAAATATAAAACAGTACAATTCTCACGACGTTTCGACTGCAACACAAGCAATCATCATCAGGTGTGAAAACCACAGCAAGAAAATTTGAAAAAAGTGGCAGTTATTTTTAACGATAGCACCACGGAGAGCGATTTGGCAGTGATTCAGATGGACGAGTCCATCTATGTTCGGAAAAGAGGAGGGGGGGAAACGAAAATAATGGATGCGGTCTGAAAGTCACCGTAAACGTTAAAAACAAACGCAACTTTTTTCAAATTTTCTTGCTGTGGTTTTCACACCTGATGATGATTGCTTGTGTTGCAGTCGAAACGTCGTGAGAATTTTATTGTTTTATATTTTTATTATTTTATTGTTTCCCTTCTACGTGGTGACTTTACCGAAAGAACCAAGAACATTAATCCCTGCAGTCACGAAAGCTTTAAATCAAAAAGTAAACTGCCTTGTATTTGGTTTAACACGTCGTAGGCTT